ATATATTACAATCGTTATAAGTTGATTATTACAGATGTATTAAAGGATCTGATAACATTATGGTCATAGTTCAAGCATGGGATATTTTCCGAATTGAATATTGTAATTATTACACATAACAACTTCACTGAAATTTCACGAATAAAAAAAATCAGATAAGATAGTACAATTATCAACTGCAGAACATTACAAAGAGCTTAGTAATTACAACCATTATCAGTAACTACAAGCTAAATAACATGAAATAATATAATAAAAATACACTCATGTATCCACGCGTTCAATGTCTCTAATATTCCTACTTTTTTCATTAGCTATGTCGATAATGATATTACCTGAAAATATTCATAAAACATACAATTATCTATTTTATCCTCCGTTTCAACTAATATCAAATTCCTTCACGCAATTATAAACAATATAACATGTGTAGTTTTGTACAAATATATCAGGTAATGTATTTCTATGACTACAAATAAATATACAGTTAAAAAAAATCCATCTATCTAATCATCTATCTATCTACCTATCTATCTATCTACCTATCTATCTATCTATATATTGTAATATGTATTTGAACAGGTTAATCAGTCATAGTATACCGTTTGACCATCATCTAAAATATCGCAATTTCGAAGGTTAATATACTATTCTAAAACATTATATAATAATATAGCGCAAAATCCAAATATGATGACTTATACAACACGAAAAAAACAATAAAAATATTACAGAGAACGGAATGGATATCATATTTTTAAGCGCATAACATATGAAATATTTATAATAATGATAAAGGTAATATTAATCGTGAGAGTGGCGAATACTAGTGATACTACAACAACTGTTGATAATATATTTATAAAAATCATAATAATGCTGATAATAGTGCTAGGAGTTGTAATAGTAATAGCATTAGTAACAGTAATAGTAATAGTGATAATAGTAAAAGTAATAATAATGATAATGATAATGATCATAATAATAATGATAATGATAATAATAGTAATAATAATAATAATAATAATAATAATAATAATGATAATAATAATAATAATAATGATAATATTAATAATAATAATAATATCAATAATAATAATAATAATAGCAATAACAATAATAATGATAATAATAATAATAATAATAATAATAATAATAATGATAATAATAATAGCAATAACAATAATAATAATAATCATAGCGTTAACAATAATCATAATGATAATAATGATGATAATAATAGTAATGATAACAATAAAAAAAACAATAGTGATAATAATAGTGATTTTAAAATGTTAATAATGAAAAAATATTAACCACAATAACAACAATAATAATAATAATAGTAGCAATGATAGTACTGATAATGATGCTAAGAATAATAATGACAATAACAACAAAAAACAGCAACAACAACAATACAATAAAAAAAATATATTAATAGAAAGGATAACAAAATAAAAATGATAAATATAAAGAATAATAACAACTATAATAGCTATATTGATAATGAGGATGATAATGATAGTAATGATAAAACAACACTATTATAACGATAACGATATTACTCTTAGAATAAGAACCAGAAATTTCTAAAAGAAAATTATTCCCTTTAGCTCTATAATATTTCTTTTGCATTTTGCCTTTTCAGTAATTGTTTAATTCTTTTCAGTCGCTATATATGATAGATCGCGGTCAATATATATATATATATATATATATATATATATATATATATATATATATATATATATATATATATATATATATATTATATGTATATATATATATATATACATATATATATATATACATATATATATATATATATATATATATATATATATATATATATATATATATATATATATATATATATATATATATATATATGTATATATATATATATATATAAGTATATATATATATATATATATATATATATATATATATATATATATATATATATATATATATATATATATATAATCAAGCAATGCCCTCCCGGTATTATCTAATAATTCTGTGTGTATGAAAGGAAAAAGCTAAGAATATCATTATAACTAATATAATAATTTTCATATATTCATTATTCCGTTAATGCATTTGTGCACACATAAAATATTCACAAAAAAGAAGGCAAACATAAGCATATAACCTCACTCGTAGAGCGAATCATCTCCATCTATTTCAATTACATATCATTATCATCAGCTTTGATATTTGCGAGTTTGCGGACACATGCAAATCGGCGGCCGGGAGATAGCCGACGTGAGCGCGGCGAAAGGGATCGATTTCCTTATCATATTCACCCCCCTCCCCCCCTACGATTCCTTTTTCCCTTTGAATCGGATTATTGAAAACCAATGACGACAAAGCCTGCAAATTCTAGAACGGAGAGGAGTGTGTTCCTAGTTGCAGAGCGGGGGTTGCGTGTAAGTGTAGCGGTGTACATGTGTGCAGAAAAGTTGACTGTCGGCGGTCATGTTCTAAGTACGGAAAATCTGCTAAAATTCTTTATCGCTCAAACTAAAACACCTTCCATATATATATTTTTTTCTATTCCCTCAAAAATTCGATACTGGGAGACGCTGTCGATAGGAAGCGATATCTAAGATTAGTTTATAAATACGAAAATTAAGATAAAGAAAATAATGAATAAAAATAAGATTTAAGAAAATAAAAAGCGGCGCCGACTAGTCGTAAAAAAATAATAGTTGTCTCAATGGAATTAACTGCCAATAATTTTAGGAAGCTTAACGAATTCGCTTTGAATTTCCTAAAAGATTTATGTTTCCTTTTCAGTAAAGTGAATTCTAATCGGTATGTTAATAATTTATGTTTCTATAGGGTTGTCCTTATGTTTATCACCTCCGGGTTCCGATTGGAAATTGATTTTAAAAACCTGAGTGGTTGTTGTTGATAAATATAAAGGTATAATATTGTTATATTAATAAATTCATATTCTTTAATTCTCTCTCTCTCTCTCTCTCTCTCTCTCTCTCTCTCTCTCTCTCTCTCTCTCTCTCTCTATATATATATATATATATATATATATATATATATATATAAATATGATATCTTTCTGACTATAGGCATAAGCGTAGCGTAAATGTCTTTGGTCCAAGTACAAAATGTATTTGCCTTAATGCAGAATGAATTCGCTGTAATTTACAAATTACCTCACATTTATTAGACCCATTTATCGATACCAAGAATAGACCGGGAATTCAGAAGACCACATATCTATTTACTGTACAATTTTAACAACCATCTGACATGAAGAACACAGCTTAAAAGAACAGTTATTGAACATGAGAGTATTATGCGCGGTAAATATTCATATCATATAGTAATTATTAATACAATTTTTGTCTTCATATCTATCTGTATAAAATAGATGAACATGATCTCAAATAATATTAATATTTTCATGTCCTCTTCCACAATAAATAAAATATCCACAAATGTATAAATAATTTCTCCCTGTGGACCTAAAATGAAGACCATATTATCTATCACTATTACCTAACACGATATCAACATCACCTTCGTCAAAATGAACATAGAAGGACCACAAACCCGAATACATTTTTCCCCCTCATTTTAAACAACCAAGTCAACCCTCCCTTTGAACATGAAGTTAACTGCCACATATTTCACGACGAAGCTTCCCCTCTCAATCTCACATGACCTCCCCCCCCCTTTCCCCTCTCTCAGGTAAACTACTTTTCACACCTGGAAGCAGACACCCCTCGTAGTCCGTGATAAGCTCCCCTCACATCCCAGGTAAGCAGCTGTTGTAACCTATACTAAGAGGGAGCTTTAACCTTCCCTTGGGATAACATCTGTACAGATACACTTTCGGTTGTGTTGCCGTACATTACGGGTGAGAATTGAATGAATTATTAGTACGGTTTGGTGATTAATTGTGCATTAATGCGGTTCTGTATTTAATGATCTATAAATACGGTTTAAAATTGGGTTATTTATTAATACTATTTAATTTTTCTTTCACATCTTCCTCGAAATTCTTAAGTCGATGTAATAATTTACTAATTTGCTTTAAATCATTAATATTCTAATCTAATGGCTTAAGAACTTCATCTAATAATTCCCTAGTTAGAGTTAATAATTCTCCAACTTAATGAGGTAGTTCAATATATTAATCTAATTCTGTGATTTGATATCGAATGACTTCGTAAGTAGTTTTACAGGTAAGTCTGGTTCTCATTAGCCCTAATTTGGCCGTCATATTCACATCAAATTTCAAACTAATGACATTTTTATATCTAGCATCGGCGTTTGATGAAAAATGTTTTTAAATTCATAGATATACAGTTATCGATTCATTATTGTATTTTCTTTATTAATATGAATTTTTTGCTCAGCATAAACCCTTTTATATGAATCTTGAAGATCTCTCATCGGACATTAATCATCAAATTATTAAACGGAAAAGAATTCACTAAATTTTGATTAAACTCAGCATCAGAATAACTCATGATTTATATTAGTAAAGCAAAACGTTAAAGGAAAAAACACTTTAGTCCATAAAATCCAGGAAATCGCGCACAATGTTCAGCTAAGCACAAGAGGCCGGCGGGCGGTGCCTGTGATGATAATTTCAAAGAACTGAAGTCAAAGGATACGTTTGTCTTTCGCTATCGTGGTTAGGAAGGATTTGATTTTCCTTTTAAAATTATATCTTTGAGTAAACACTGTTGTATGTTGGTGTTGGAGATATGTAATGGCCGAGGAGAGATATTTTCGGTGGGTATGTCGGTGAACATTCGCGGCAATGTGCGAATTCAAGATTATAAAGAAAAGCTAAGAGATAAAATGATTTGGGAAAATGTCGAGGTCCTTAAGAGTTCGTCTCAGCGCCCGACCGCGGAGACTGGTTTCGTCGGCGGGCGTGAGAAGTCGGTAAGGGCGGCGGATCGGGCGGTCGGGCGTCGTCGGCTGCGCCTTCCACCGACTATTTTTGATGTACTTACCCATGGCGGCCAAAGCGGGGTCCGGGTAGGGCAGAGTGGGCAACATATCAACGGATTTCTCACTCTTGATCGGGCCCATTGGTAGCAGTAGCACTCACTCACTAACACACGCCAGATAAGATCCCGAAGGAAACTGATTCAGATAATTTTTTTCTCTCTTTTTCTTGCAAGTTTCTGCTTTGTCGGGTGTGGGTGGGGGGGTGGGGTGGGGTGGTGATGGGGGGGGTGGGAGGAGAGGGCGATGCACAAAATGGGTTCAAGACTTATGAACGGCTTATCTCCCGAGTCTAAATATGATAAGAGATTTAGCACAAGCAGCTCTCATGCGCGGACGGAAGCGTGAAGCACGGCGGCACCGATGCCTAGGGAGCCAGAGGCACTCAACTGAGAATGGCACGGTCCG